CATTGCACAACATCGCAAACGTGCGGGGGCTATTTAGCATTCCAGTCCGGAAGGTTTTCTGCTCCCTATTTCACTGTAATTACTTTAGAGAGTAATGTCATTGGCGATTTCAAAGACGCAAAACATCCTTGCATCAGAACTGAAAAAGCAATAGTAACAGATCAAAGTGCTTCGGACCTCGCAGAGCCTTGCAAGACTCTGGTTCTGTGTTCCATTACCGTCTAATCTCTACTAGAAACACGAAGCATGATGGTGCTCCTAGAAATACTGAGAATGCTAGCTTAAATCTCCCTCTAAATCGCTCTTAACTTCAATTCTTTTGAGCAGAATTTAAATTCTTTCCGAAAGATTCATGCCTCTTCAGAGAAGAATTTATCATTATAGATTCTTCGTCCCCAGAGGAGAATTATAATTCTGAAGAGAAGAAACCTGGTTCTTGGAGAAAGAATTATGGGTCTTCTCCAAAGGTTAAGAATTCTTAAAAGAATCTCGTGTATGTCTGATTCTTGTTAGAAGAATACTAGTTTTTCCCACAAGAACAAAATTCTTTTGCCAAGAACCAATTAATAAGGTATTCTTCAGAGAAGAAACACTGCTCTCCTCCCAAGATGATGACAAAAGTCTTTTGCTGAGAACCATTTAATGGTGTATTCTTCTTAAAGGAAACACTGCTCTCCTCCCAAGATGATATCCATTTAAGGAAGGAATTGTGGGTCTCTTCCTAAGGTTAGGAATTCTCATGAGAAGAATCTCATGTATGTCTGATTCTTGTTGGAAGAATACTTGTTTTTCCCACAAGAACAAAATTCTTTTGCCAAGAACCAATTAATAAGGTATTCTTCTGAGAAGAAACACTGCTCTCCTCTCAAGATGATATCCATTTAAGCAGAATCTCATTTTTCAAGCAAGCTTATCAGAAGAATTACTGCTCTTCCCTGAACAATATTTGTTTGGGAAGAATGTCAGTTTCTGAGTCTCCTCATGAGAGTTTTTGTCACAGCTTCACTCAAGAATGAATGTTTGTTTTTAAATTGATTGTTCTTCACAAGATATTGACTTTGCTTGTTTGAATAATCACATTCACATGCATTCTAGCTGATAAAGTCTTTGTGCTCTTCTGAGGTCTGAATATTCTATTGAGAAGAATCTTTTGCCTTTACTGGGTTTTGTTGAGTTATTGAAAGGATTGATTATCCTCCAATGCAGTAAATTACACTGAAAAGAATCTCATTTTCTTTGGATCTATTTTTTAGCATACAATCAACATAACATAAAACTAATTCACATATTTATAATGTATGCATCAAGTTATCTATGAACAACTATATTAGCACTCACTGTATCGCAAACATTCCCTGATTATCACCTCATTTTTTGTATCTTGTAATTAAATCATATCACTTTTAAATCATACTCCATTTTTTATCCATTTTTCAACAAACAATTTACAAAAATATAATTAACTTACATATTGACAACAACATGATGTATACATCAAATTATCAATGAACAGCAATATCAACATTCACTGTTATTGACAACTTTCAATTTTTATCTACATATCTCATTCTTTGTATATTAGTTGAATATATCATTCCCTGATCATACACTATACCATTCATTACTTTTACAATCTGCATCAAAGCAGTTGTTGTACATCAGTGAATTTATAGCATGCCAATTGTAACCCCTAGTCCTTTCCTATGACCTCTTCCTTAGCTGAGCAATCCAGTACTTCTCTGTTCACAAACATGATTGAAAGTGGAAGGGGAATACTCAATTTTGAATCATGCAAAAATAGCTAATTTTTGTTGCAAATTGAAGCCTTCAAGTACATAATTCAGCCCCATTCAATTGTAATTTATCCTGACCTCGAGCTCTACAACTGAAATTAAATTTGTCAGTCCTGCAACTAGTAGATTATACACGAACAAGGTTCAATCAGTTCTTGAAGAGCACTTCCTTCTAACAGCTTTGTTGACAGCATGTTTCCAATGAAGGTTAGGTCCAATCAAGCAGGATTCAGTTTCTTGGACCTCATCTTATTGATATGTCAATAATCTTATTGATATGTCAATAATCTTATTGATATGTCAATAATCTTATTGATTGGCAGAAATATTGGACAAGATGGCGGGCGCGCTTGCGCATTTCGCCCATAATGGCGTCCAAACAATATAGGAAACTGTATGGAAATTTGTAAAATTTCTAAAATATAACAATCAGGAGCTCATGGTCCTGTCTGCTCTCGATCGAGACATATTCAGTATTGATTCTGCTATTCATCAAACCTCACAGTGACTCGATAAATAAAAACAACTTACTTCTCGAGCCAGTTCTTTTGTCATTGTTCATTGACCTAAGTCGCCATACAGTTCTTCAAAATCCGTCGTTCTCCATCCCAAACACTCGCCTATTACAGGAAAGTGCAGCAATGAAGTCAACTGCTCTCGATCGAATTGACTGCTACTGAGTTCGAAGCGTCAAAATATCCTGTAAAATTGTCATTTCCTCCCATCAAAAAACTTCCCAACGCGCCAGAATATCCCATATTTTCCATGTTGAGTAAGTGACGAGACGCCATGTTGAAAACTATGACTGAAATGGTTAAACAAGAGCAATTCTGATCTTCGAATCATCGGCCATATTTGTTTATGTTCTTGCTGGGAAATAAATTAGTTCTCAGGTCCTTTTCGGAATAAAAATATGCCAGGCGTTAAATGCAAATTCAGTAATCTTGGCGCGAAAATTTAATAAAAGCAAATCAAAATTCTGACATCATGTCATCGCTCTGCCTCGAAAAATCCCAAAGATTTACTTGCAGGTCTACTTTTCTTTTTCTTTTCATCAAATAGAAGATCTGCGGTGTTCAAATTGAGTAAGTCATGGTACGAAACACGCTTCTTTGCAGATCGAGCCGTGATCGCCGCCATATTGAATTCTCTTGATAATCTATCGTTCCGGATTGTAATACGATATACCGCTGATAATTGTTAGCGGGCTCGAAATGTACTTGATTTCTGGCGATGGAGATTTTGTCGATCGGTCGACACCGAAATGTTGTAACAAGACCCCACCTGACACTTCGAATATTCCTATTGAATCACTCTGTACGAACCCAGATTTGAATGCCCTCCTAACGTACAAGTTAACCTTGGAGCGGAAAGCAGTATTGGCCGCTGAGGTCTCCTTTCTCACATGAGATCGAAACAAGGCAATGACAACCTATTAATCGGCGCACTTTTTTGAAAGCCGATAGAAACGTTTATTGAGCCCGCGAAACCGAAATCGGATATAGGGCGGTTACCAAGCGCTTAGCATCGACCGCGTTACTCTTGCCTGCTAGCACAACAGATTCCAATGACAAAAATTTAAGGACTATTTTGGAACTGCTCAAACCTCCAGATGAGTCTTTCGCTTCCAAAGTTATTAATTTTGGTGTTCTGTTCACACGACAATTTAATATAAATTATCGCGGCTACGACATCATATTTCGTTTTCCCAGCGAATCGTTCATGTACCTACTCCATCGCTGTATTGTAGCAAAGCTTTATCAGACTTCATCAGATAATTTGGTCTATAATTATTAAAGTTACTAGCAATAGAGGTTAACTTAATAAAATTTTGGTTATAAGAGATTCTGCCTCTTATCTAATGAATTCTGAAATTGCGATTCTTTTCATAAGATCTGCAATTAAACATTCTTTCCAGAAGAACCTTCTACTTCTTTGCCTGCCAGAAAGAATCCTCGTTCTTGAGAAAAAGAATTCCGGATTCTTGTGACAAGAGTTACTGATTCTGTTCTTAAAGCTTCGTAAGATTTGCGATCAAATGTTCTTTCCAGAAGAACTCTCTGCTTCATTGCTTGCTGAAAAGAATTCTCGTTCTTGAGAAAAGAATTCCCGATTCTTGTGGCAAGAGTTCCTGAAATTGCAATTCTGTCCATGAGATTTGCAATTAAACATTCTTTCCAGAAGAACTCTCTACTTCATTGCCCGCTGAAAAGAGTCCTCGCTCTTCAAAAAGAATTCCCGGTTCTTGTGGCAAGAGTTTCTGAAATAGAGATTCTTCTCAAGATAATCAGATGTAATGCATTCTTACCACAAGAATTCTCTCTTCTTTTCAATCTTGTTTCAAGAATCTCGATTCTCCTTGAAAGAATCACCATTAATGATTGTTCTGATAAGAAGTTTGGTTCTTAAGAGGAGAATATGCTATTTGGGGAATTTAGAGTGTCTTCATTTCTTACGCTTTTTATGCTACTTACTTGGAGTTAAGCAAAGCAAGGTGGCACGTTGCACCGCAAATAATTCTATAACCGTTCAACACCTAAAAGATCAAGTTTCGAAAACAACACTACCTTTGCAAGACGTTATTTACATTGTAAACATTATAGTCATTTTTGAGGGAAATCCTTAACGTAATTGTAGGAAAAACTTCTTCGGCAAGCAGTTACGACTCTTTCGGGGCTTTCCCCTATCCCCCTTTCCTATTGACGAAAATGTAGACCATTATTATCTTTTCGACTCCGTAATTCGAAGTAGGTTCGGAACTTAAATACATAGCTAGGCCAAAAAAATCTGAAAATATTTATTGAAATGTATTTTAGGAAGCATTCAAAAAATAATTTTAAGCTCTTTCATTTCACAAAGCGATAGCATCAGAGTTAATAGATCACGTGAAAACTTTGATAAATACGCATGTGCTTTTTTCAAAGGCAATAAGATCGTCTCGGTTAAGGCTGGAAAGAGGCAGCGCTATTGTTGTCTGCGTTTAGTGCGGTTGTTGATAGGAATGCACTATACTTGATTTTAATTAGGAAGATTATGCAGTAAATAGCATATGCGAGAGCGTAGGCATGTAAACTTAAATTGTGAAAACTCCGCTCACTAAACCAACGTTTTACTTTTTGAACAGAGAGGAGAATAAAAAGGACATAATTCTTCCTTGAGGAAGGTCAGATGTCAAAAATACTGCTCCCAAAGAAGTAAGAGAACACGATGAGTGCTAGCAAGGACAAAGAAGAATCTTCACCTCGTCTTGCAGAGACCATGCTTTATACGTCAGAAGAACTTTCCTCCGGCTCTCCATCGATTTACCGCCTTCGCATGAGAGACGAAATGAGACGCGGAGAAGCAATGATTGCAAAACAATCCATCGGTAAACCTTACCGTATCGGGCGCGGAGAAATTGAGAAAGTGTTCATGGTGGTAGGAGCAACAGGAGCTGGTAAGTCTACTTTGATCAATGGTATGGTCAACTACGTTCTAGGTGTGCAATGGAATGATGAATTCCGCTTCAAGCTCATCACAGAAGAGTCCAAAGCTTCACAAGCCCACAGCCAAACTCAGTACATAACAGCATACACATTTTATCCCATGAAAGGCTCAGCAGTCCCCTTTGCATTTACAATAATCGACACTCCTGGTTTTGGTGGAACGGAAGGACTAGAGAGAGACAAGAAGATCACTGAACAGATAAAAGAGTTCTTCTCCATTGCCCCACCTGATGGTATAGATCATCTCGATTGCATTGGGTTTGTTGTCCCGTCTTCTCAGCCACGTCTTACTCCAACGCAGAAGTACATATTTGACTCAATACTGTCCATATTTGGAAACGACGTTGCCAAAAACATATTCATGATGATAACATTTGCAGATGGCCAGCGCCCTCCCGTCTTAGAGGCAATCAAAGAAGCTAACATCCCAGGCGGAGGTGAAAGGTTCTTTAAATTCAACAATTCAGCTCTTTTTGCAGAGAACAAAGACTCCGATTTCGATGAAATGTTTTGGAAAATGGGTCTCTCCTCGTTTAGGAAGTTCTTTGAAGAGTTCCCCAAGGTAGAAAGCGTCAGCCTGCGCCTTACTAAAGAAGTTTTACAAGAACGTGAAGAGCTCTACTGTTTGGTAGAAGGCCTAAATGACCAAATTACTCTTGGCCTAAACAAGATTGAAGAGATACGACAGGAGGAAATCGTGCTCCAACAACGCGAGAAGGAGATTCAAACAAATAAAGATTTCACCTACAGCATTGATGTCACGAAACCAGTCTACACCAGCCTAGAAGGAACTGGCCAACACACCACCACTTGCATACCTTGTAACAAAACATGCCACAAGGACTGCAAGATTCCTGATGATGACAGAAAGCAGAGATGTTGGGCCATGGATAAGTTGACGGGAGAATGCAGGATCTGCCCACGAAAATGCCACTGGTCAGAGCACAAGAATCGCCCATACCTGATCGAATATAAAACAGAAACTGAGACAAGAACAGTCGAGGACCTGAAAAAGAAATACCACAGAGCCGTGAAAGAAAAGGCCACTTCTGAAAAAATGATGAAATCGATAGAAGAATCTCTTCAGAAAGTGCACGAAGAAGTCCTCACCATGATCAAAAAAGCTCAACAAAGCCTTCGTCGCTTGGATGAGATTGCCCTCAAACCCAACCCTTTGACTCAAGTAGATTACCTGGAGATTCTAATCGAATCCGAGAAAGCAGAAGCCAAGTCTGGATGGAAACAACGTGTGAAATATCTTGAAGTCGCCAAAGGTCATGCCGAAACACTGTCTAAAGTAAAAGATGAGAAAGAAAGCCAAAATCTTATCAAAAAGTTGTCCAGAGATGTGGATGTCCAGGAAGAGGAAAAGACAAGGGATGCAATGGAGAAATTATCCCTCAGTGGAGAAAAATGGTACCATCGCTTCAAGTTTTGGTAACCAGTCTCGTCTTGACAAGTACGGTAACCTTGAGTTTGAAAAAGTTCCACTACTTTAACCAAGAAACAAGGATGAAACTTATTACTCTTTCCTAATTGTGCCCATTCATTTTTTTCTTGTGATAAAAAAATTTAAATCACACGTAGTTATGACTTGAATAGCATAAACAAGAGCGGCCTGAGGATTAATTTTCAGCAAATTCTTACCAGTTTGACGGTAAAATTTTCAGAAATCCAGGCTGCATTCTCTTTTGACTTCCACGTGAACCAAGCTTGTGTACGTCGGCATACATTGGGTTCTCTTCGGTACAACTAAAAGAAACAACTTTGTGACCAATCTATAAAAACGTATCCTAAACTCCTGAGTGTTATATTGTTGATGTGATTTACGAATCAGATTTTCTTCGATAAGAAATCGAAACTCTCTAATAGAAAAGTTAATTACCAACTGAATGATGTGGCTTGCAGTAAGCCGAACTAACCCTAAGCAATGTACCTTAAGTGGATCAATCAATACTAAGGCAACAGTTTATTTAGGTGAGAGACCCTTAAAACCTGAGCAATAAATTTAACTTAGTATACATTTTTTTCCCTTTTTCGATTTGCATTTTTGAGGTGAATTTCAATTGTGGAGATAACTTCGATATTCTTTGATAAAATGTCAAAAATATCTGAACTGATATCCAAACACTATTAAGCATTTCATGTCATCAATCTTCTAGTTGAAGAACATATTGATGGATCCTTTTTTAATGGGATTGATTAACGGGACTTTAAAAAATAGAAAAAAATAAATTAGGAAATCAAAAAAACCAATCGTTTTACAATGTTAATTCGGACCAAAACAGGCTCGTGTAGCTTGCAGAATACAAATTCAAAATGCACGAGGTTACAAGCATTGTTAAAAAAATGAATATGGAAGGACATCCTGTGAGATATCTCATTTCTGATTTACTTGCTCAAGCTTTTAATTAGCTCTACTGCAGCATACTTTCGGTTTTCTCGTGACTGCTTTTGATAGCTTGCGGTTTTTAAGCACTTTCTTGTGTTCCGGTGTCAAGCATTAGGCATTCACCTGCGTTTTTAAAAATTTCGTTACCAAGTTAATTCTGAAAAATTAGCAGGTGAACCGATGACTATTCTTTGAAGAGGCTACATGTATCATGTAGTGTGCTTGTGCACGATTCAGAGAATTACTAGCCAGTTTGCAAAACATAGCCTCCACTAGCTTGTTGTCTGTAATTTAGAAAAAGAGCAAAGGATAAATACTCAGAAATGTTAGCAACCATAGACTGATTCTGGTTCACCTGTACCTCTGCCGATGTCTCTTTTGTATAAATTGTACTTATTGCAAAAAGTTATACATCGGCGGTACAGGACGACGAGATTAAGCGACCGATTCCAAGAATACCTTCGTGATCACGACCTACACCACGAAAAAAAATGACCAAGAATCATCCAATCAGTGTCTATTTAAGGGACCAGTTACGCTTGGCGAAAATAAATGCAACCCAAGAACTTATATGCGTCCAGATTCCTTGTATTCTAGTAAACAACGATTTACATACGAGGATATAACCGGCGACGATTCGGAGTTATTGCTTCTTACAGGATAGCCCCAAAATCCTTAACTAAAAATCAACGGCAAAAAACTTCGAACGACGCCCAAGCGGTGCGCACGACAAGAGAAACTGCGCCCTAAGTAAATTTTCAGCGGCTCTACAGGCTGTAAGTAAATTCAACGAATCATACACTAGTAACTAGTGTGTGATTCGTATATAATCTGAGCAGCATGTAGCAGTCTACGGCCTTTCCTCACACCAAGGTAGTTCGGAAAGCTGCAAAACTATAGAACAAAAATTTATCTTTCAAATTGGCACTCATAATCCCCACGATATCAGTGAACGCTTTTCATTCAGCTAATTTATTTTTGTTTTTCACGTTACCATGTTCCCTCCAATAGCATTGATGTACATTTTGCTGCTTATAAAACCAAATTATCCGGTTTCAATCTGACTATTTTTAATTTTTGTTTTTAGTCCAGCAAATCATCTGTGGGACTTCCCACTTTTCAGCCGTCTTAAAAGAAAGACCTATGCCTTATCTATTACTTTAATCGGCACGTGTGAATGGCTATAACACGTCATAAAGATGCCCGCATTTAAAAACTAAACTTTCTTCCGTTCAGAACAAAGTAATCTAATGGAACCTGTCTTAAGCACACATTTTAGAGCTCCCTGCTTGTGTCCGATAAAAACAAGATTTCTCAAGGCATATGTCTAAAGCAGGTTTTGGCGAATTGGGCAGTAGGGGCAAGCTCGATTCTTTGCGGAGGTCACGGCGTGAATTTAAATATCATTAGCTACTTAGGTAACTATAGTAAGCCTGTTTGTTGTTTGTTCTTGTGTGCGCTTAGTAAACAATTTCCCTTATCTGACAAGTGTAAGTTTTCTGAATATAGCATATCAGTCTCGATTCGGAGAAACATACCCGCTAAGTTTTAACTCGAAATCAGCCATCGCTCACTATCTTATACGATTTTCAGTCAGGCTCGTGCTTCGCCACAGCTCAGATGGTGGGTGATCACCCAGTGGTGAGGGGGGTGGAGTGCCTAAAGATTACACTAGGTTTTCGCATGAAGACGGGCAATGACCGCCCTTTAGGTGGCCTGGCAAGTAAAAATTGTAGGAAGGGGGAGGGAGGAGGGGGACCGTGGGGGGGTTGATATAAAGGCTAAAATTGGAACGCAGTCCAAGGAATAGCCTATAGTTCAGGGATGGGGAGGGTAGGTCTTGGACTCTTCAGTAAACTGGAGTTTGCTTAGCGGTTGAGAGCGCTGTTTATCATGATTGGCATTCAGGCTCATAACCTGCCACAGCTCGGCCGGTGGGCTAAAACCTCGACTTCTTGAGAGTCGCTGAGGGTCAAAAGCACCACGGGTAGAGAGAAGGAATCGATTGACATCGCAAACACCTGCCTGCTAGGTTTTCGCTCGATGGCGGGCATCACCCGGAAATCCACTCAAATATCTGTTAAGAGTTTTTGGAACTTTCAGCAAATCTTCGCAGATATTAAGATTGACCGGAACGTTACACCCCTTTGAGGGCAATTTCATCCAGGCGTGCAGGCTTTGCTGAGCTTTGAACATCATCGAAAAGACATTTTATGCACTTCCGTAAGATTCCCTTTTAGTTTCTCAATCATGCCTTCCGCTTCGTTCTTCCCTAACTTAGCTACTTCGTATTTCTTTTTAAGATCTTCTGAGGTTCTCGTCTCAATGACTGTTTCGTACTTAAAAATGTAAGGAAGATACAAGTGATGACTCCAATGGCAATGGTTTTTGCAGACTGTGCAGTAACCACTCCCGTCCAAACTAGAGAGGGATTTACGCAATTAAGAAAATGTAATCTTTGGTCTTTCGACGTAGTGGGCACGTATTGTTTATCTATTTTATGACATAAGTAAGGTAAGTTTGCGTAATACTAAATCTGAAAATCTAGTCAACTTTCTTCACCCTTAACGACTTTGACAGCCTATATATTTTTTTTCTAATTCATATTCTCCGACACAGCATTTAATTTACACTAACAATGGCCTCTATATATGAAACGAGTTTGGTTTTCTTCCATGTAAAATAATAAAGATGAAAAAGTAAAACTCTTGAGCTGGCTTTTTCCCGCTGGCTATGTTTCTTTTCGACAGAAATAACTGAAGTACAGACAGACGTTATTTCGTGATATCGGTCCTGTGATTTTGTACCACGTCACGTGAAGTAGACAATCAGATTGCCCATTAATTATTTAAAAAATTATAAAAGGGTTTTAAAAAGTTAAAGGGTTATACAAGCTGTTAACTGAAATTGATTGAAAACGCTTCGATTTTGATCATGTGACCTTACACGTCACGCTTGTGTACATGTGTAGTACTTTGAGTGAAAGCAGTTCTATTTCGGGGTCTGATTATTCGGATTTTGAGGCCTCGATGGAAGGTGAACATAATGAAAGGGTTTATTAATTAATCTGTTGGTAAAATCAGGCCCTGGAAATTTGAACCGCAGGACAAACGTAACCCAAAAAGAGCGCGAGAGTCAGAGGAGGATCAAGAGCGCGTGCGCCGCGGCCGCCTCAACTAAGAAAGCGATAATGGTGAGTGCATTTACGATTGTAAATAAAGTATCTGAAAATCAGTTGCTTATGGAATGTAGACCAAATGTACAGAATCTTGAATACCATAGGAGCGAAGTGTTTTTATACTACACGCACGCACCATCCGAAGCTAAGGGGTTTCACTGACTGAAAATATAAACATACACGCTTGTGGAGGTGAATTGGATGGATTATACACGGTCACACGCGATTGCATCGGTTTCAAGTTTTCTTGCGCTCATAAAAAGGTGTTTCTTGTAACATTTACAGCATGTTTCTGTTATTATTCACTTCCATTAAAAGTTAATTAAACTTAGGCATACGATTGAGCTATATAAGCTGCTCACTGTTAGTTTTAATCATTCCTGGGGAACCCTCAGCCAGAGACGAAACGCATCGAAAGAAATAGAAAAAAAAGTTACAACAGTAGGAAGTCTTCCTTTGTGCTCACTAGTCTCCGGTAACAAAAAATAAAAAAAGGACAAATCTTGGGCTTTTCCGGAACGTGGAGGAAGAGTTTCGTTCACGAAACCAGATGACGGCCTCCCATAATACGCGACAACACTTTGCGTTTAGTCACGCTCACTCCAGAACCGATGGGCCTGAGGTCACAGTGATATACACCGGACAAAATCTAGAGTCAAATACTTTTCGGCTCGGACTAAAAAAAACTCTCTTTAAGTATAGGACTCGACACTGGTAAAGAGGAAAAAATTATGGGAACATATATTTTTTTTACAGTTGTTTGGAATGGCGTGCAAATTACATGTGGCTCTGAATACAGACTTGCGATCCGTCGCGTTTCGATTATTCAAAACTCGTTATTTTGTTTCTCACCCGTATTTCGTAGTCTTTAAATGGTGGCCCATGACAGAATGGAACAAATCTAATTTTTTTTCCGCTCGTAAATTTCGGCAGCAGCTGAAAGGCCGGAACGAAGTTGTTACTTTGACGCTTTTCACTGCTCTACACACGCGTGACGTATCACATCACATGATCTAAATCTGACCGTTTTCAAAATGCCTGTCGATTAAGCGTCAAAAAAATTGCAGAAAATTTGATTTTGCACAATATATCGTTAATTTGTTCATTTAGGATTCTTTAACCTAAGAGGAATGTATTGGGACAAAAAAAGGGAGAAAAATTTAGCGTCAGTTACCCTTTAACACGCTAAGTTTCTTTGTTCCTTAACACGCGAGCTTATTTTGTACAATCCAGCTTACTTTTTTACTTGTGTTTGTCAGCTTCTTAACAAATTATTGTGAGAATGGTGTTTGTAAAGTGTATTACTTACAGAATATAAGTGAAAATGAAGACGATCTTCTGTCCTATCGAAAGTTGTAATAAAAAAAAACATTCACGGCAAATCACGGCTCTTTTCCTCAGGATTTTCACAAGGAATTCAGTGAGCACGACGTATTTCGCAAGGTCCAGAGGAGCTCAATTTGAACACATGAATTACTTTTTGAAAAATTAATTATTACCTTGTGAAATATAAATCCTTATGGCTTCATGAAGTTAATAAGCCCAGTACCGAATCTTTTTTAATCCTTAAGCAACGGTTTTCCGGCTCCATGTCTCCTACGCGATCGATGTTCGTCACTCTATGCAAACCGGCATTTTTAAGCGTTAATTAGCCGGCGCAAAGCCAAGCTTTCCGAGCGAAGCCCGCGTGCTATAAAATTGGCACGGTCACCGTGTTATATCGTGCAAAGTTGCATGCAAGATCTTAACACGTTCCTTTGTTTCTACCGCGCGAAGAAAGACAATGACTGCGAAGTTAATGAGGCAAGTAACTTACAAGCAGCCAACTTGTTAAAAGCTCGTTATTTTGTTTTAGCGTGCTAGTGTACCGTGTGCGTGCGTTCACCTTATTCCCTGAAATCCCGTGGAGGGTCACATATGTTATCACGTGGGTGTTGTGAAATACCCGCTTGAAGTGAAATCTACAACTACAGAATTGGAACATGGAAAAAATGACTAGTGGATCTTAGCAATTTTTTTAGATATAATCGTAGAAAAAAGGAAGGAAAAACAGAACCCTGTTCAAAAAAACAAATGAAGGCAAAAGAGTGACAAATGTAATCGCTGTAGAAAACTCATTAACTGAGGAAACAAAAAAAATCTCGCGGCGTTGCCCCAGGGAAACCTCGTGAAATGATGAAAACGTCGTCGCTATCATTTTTATTCGAATGAATGAATTAAGAATGTCGGTACTAATTTAAAAAGAGGTTTCAGTTTTTTTTGTTTTGAGCGAATTGAGACAATTTGTTTGTGGTCTAAAAGTGGAGTCGTCACTCTGTAACAGGTTTAGTGAAACGTTCGTAGACATAGCGAGTTGCGAAGCGTGTCATTGAGTGAATATGGAGGTGTGCTGTTCTTTTAAGTCTAGGAGGAATGTGTGGATTTGACACCAGAGACAGGAAAAAAGAAGCACAAATTATCCCTTTACTAGCCTGTTCAAAACCAATTTCCAACCATGCAGCAAGCCTGGGATTTTCTGGTCCAGAGGACGAAGTTGAACTTATCCTCAGCCGAGCAGCAGTATTTACTCAACCTGCAAACATAAATTCTATAATCATTTGTCCATTACATCGCGAAAAGCTTGGTTTGGGCTGGAGGCGGGGATCTACTTCGCGGTGTAGAGAGCCAATGTTCTTATGTTTTCTGAGCCTCGAAGCAATATTAATGATAACAACAACAATTATGTGCAGTTGGAAACTAAAACAGCTTAAAAAATTACCGACCAGTGGCAAAAAAATTAATTGAGATTTACCAACAACCGACAAAATTCGAATTTTTTTTTTAATCAACAACCGACAAAGTAAAGAAATTTTAACCGACAAACGACATGGAGACCTCCTCCCCCCCCCCCCCTATTCAGACCCTCTGTTTACCCTAGAAGCATCAAACTTGGTCAAATGACTACTCTCAACGGGATCTTTCATGTAGCGGTGTCAGTTTATCGATTCGTTAAAATTTGAAACTCCTCCCAGTTCCTTGTGCAATTTCGGATTGGCCTATAATTATCCATTACATTTCTAATCCTGTACGCGTACATCAAAAAGTCTCAAATGTTCACCTTTAAAGCACCGTCTTATCGTAATCGAAATAACAGGAGTTGAACAGTAAATTGAATTTCGTGCGCGGGTAAACATTACAAGGTCGTGAACATCGCACAAGTTTCAACATCAACAAATGCTCAGGGTAACTTAAGAGAAGTGCAGGCTATTTATTGATCATTTATACACGAACTACTTCGCTAGTTTAAGCAGTGCTTGTCGGCTTTTTTATTTTACTTCTTTTAGTTGTGAACATTGAACGTCGCGTGTTTCGATTACAAGTTAGTAGTGGCAATTTGCTTTGCAAAATGCGTGTATGAATAACAAAGGCTTCTTCCTCCAATTGAAATACATGCAAACGCGTGAAATTACTCGCAAATTCGTGTAACCACAAGATCAGTAAATTTTACACGCGTATAAAATATAATTATACGCACCTTGCACGCAATGTCTAACGGATACTACACGCATTTTACGCAAGTGTACGTGCTGCAACCTCTTCGATCGGTACTGAACCTGAGAAATCAGGCCTTCCTGACGGGTGCCCCCCAGAGGTTTATGATTTTCTTTCCTTTTCGAAATTAATGCCAGTTTCGTCTTTATGTTGCATGTTTCTTTGCAAAACATCGTACATTCGAATTTTATAGGGGCTCATTATGTCTAATTGTGTGGAAAACAATTCCTTGAAAATGAGTTTTGTCCATGAGAAGTCCTTGAAAAATATGATATCGGGTCCGTATGAGCCATGAACAACCTTCCAAGGTTAACTGACCAGTCTTGTGCCTCCTACTTTTGCCCTTCAAGAGACAAGACGTCTAGAGGCGTTCATGCAGGATGTATTGGTCTATGCAAGCATTAACACCGAATAGTTGACCCACAGTCAAAATCTGTTTATGCTCACTAGGGTCGGGAAACGAATGACCCTGAAGATATCCGATTTGAAGTCCAAAAATATCAGACTCCTGATTAAATTGCGTCTAGCTCGCAAACACGTACCTCAATCGACTCGCTTGTGTTTTTCTTTATCTTGCGAGGGCACCCTGTGTTTTTCAGCTCCTGTTTCATGCGCAAAAAAAAAAAAATGAAACAAGATCGGAAATACCCAGTTGGTTTGCCTCCGGCCAGTTGGGATTCTTAACAATGTTATGTTCAATTTAATTTGAATTAGTTGTTTCAGTTGTTTTCTCGGCTCCCACTAGCCTTTGTGCTATAAACACTGCCGAGGGTAAAAAAGGTATTATTTTATATTATCATAATATTTATTGAACGAGATGCTCTCGCAGTTCTTCCGATCACTTTCATTGTTTTTAAAGCCGCTGAAAATCAAGGCTTCGCTGTTATTTCCTGGCGGAATAGCAAGAATCTCATGTTTGAAGAAGTTTACCAATTAAAAAAAATGATACTTAATGGATGGGCGTCCTTTCTATCAATCATCAGCAATGTAATCATCAGTGAAATTGAAGAAAGATACAGAATTTAGGTTCACTTTGAAACTGATTTTTTTCTTCGCTTTAGCCAATAAAAGGCTTGATTTCTGCCAGTCATTTGAGCTGAGTCCTCGTGTATCCTCCCACGAAAGAATCCTAAGGGAAGGAGCGTAAGTACCTTCCCCGCACTGCGACAAATATTTCTCGTCTAAGTTGATCTTGAAGTAGTGGCATTGTGGGGGAATTTAGTGACAAAGTACACTTAAGGAATCGTTTCCCAAATGAAGGCTCTGGACGGCTTCTTCTAATGACGCTTTTTAATAACATTGTAGACAGACTAACGTAGACAACATTTGAGCTTGTTATGACTTCTTATTAAGTTTTCTTGATATTTAACATGCTCTTGATCACAACAAGGTCACGTGAGCTTTTGCATTCCCGTCTTTGTTACTACTTACAAAAATGTAACGTCGTCGCTGATGAGACACACAAGTAAAGGTATTATAGCTTTATAATGATAACACCCTAATTCTCGACTTATGTAGCAAAATTAGTAGCTAATTTAAATGCAATGAGTAAGACGATATACCTATGAAAAAACCCTTATGGGTTTTGACCTTCAAGAAAAAAAGAAACCTTTTTGTATTGGCCTCGATTTAGGAGATAATATTTTTCCTACGGCAATGCCGAAAGTCGACATCAATCGCTGTACCGCATCAGAAATTGTTAATAAACATATGTAATATAGACATATAAAGTTTCAAAATTTCATGACCTTCTTGGCTTGGGAAACGCTTTATGAAATTGGATGGCCATCACAAACAACTTTAAAAATTGTTAAAAACTATCATATAGCTTATATCTTTTTGCAGTTTTCAGTTATTTAAACTTCTGCAGAATACAGTATTGAAATATGTGAGCACATCAGGCTGTAACAAGTTCCAAAGAGGCAAAAAGGAGCAATTGAACTTTGTAACTTGTATCATAACGAAGTCACAAGAACTTAAATCTGGAATACCATTTATCTCCACTGGAAGCTTTCTCTTTGATCTGCTTTTCGGCTGCTTTAATATCTTTAACTTTGGCTAATATTTGAGCTTGACGTTTGGCTTCTTCGTAATATTGAACGCGTTGTTTCCATCCCTCTTTGGCTTCATTCTTTTCGGATTCAATGAGGAGCTCCAGATACTCTATCTGGGTCAGTGGGTTGGGCTTGAGGGCAATTTCGTCCAGGCGTCGTAGGCTTTGCTGAGCTCTGACTATCATTTTAAGGACTTTGGTATGCACCGACGTGAGGTACTCTTCTAGTTTGCCAATCATGCCCTTTACATGGTTCTTCCCTGACAAGGCTGTTTCGTATTTTTTTTTGAGGTCATCTGATGTTCTCATTTCTTTCTTTTTCCTGTATTCGATCACGTAAGGAAGATTCCGGTGCTCCGACCATTTGCAATGTTGAGTACAGATCCTGCAGTTTCCATCGTCGTCCATAGCCCAGCAATTAAACTTTTTGTCGTCATTCGCAGTTTGACAGTTTTTATGACAAGTAAAATTGCATCGGAGACATGTGGTGGTATGCCTACCAGTCCCTTCAAGTCTAATCTCGACTGGAACAGTAATTTCGACTGGATACGTGAACGACTTGTTTGTTTCTATGTCCGCCTCGTGTTTTTTTAAGATAGCCTCTTCTTGCCGCATTTCCTCAATTTTGTTTAGACCCTCTTTGATTTGCGGGCTCAAGCCTTCAATTATGATTTGAAGCTGATGGCGTTCCTTTAGCACCTCTTGAGTCAGCTGAAGGCTAACGCTATCCGTCTTCTCAAACTCTAAGAAGAATTTCTCAAAGGAACGAGCACCCATCCTCCAAAACATTGCATCGAATTCTTCTTCGACCTCTTCGGAGTTATTTGCGTACAAGGCTGAGTTGTTGAATTTGTAAAACTTCTGCGCTGGGATTTTGGCGTTGTTTATGGCTTCCATTACTGGGGGCTGTTGGCCGTCTGCAAACGTGACCAGCATGAAGATGCTTTTAACGACATCTTTTCCAAATACAGATAAGATGGAGTCGAAGATGTACTCTTGTGTTGGGGTAAGACGGGCCAAAGAGGCTTGCGTGACAAAACCAATGCAATCAAGATGATCGATCCCATCTGGAGGAGGAATTGAAAAAAATTCTTTGATCTGATTGGTGATTTCTTTGTCTCTTTCCAGTCCTCCCGTGTCTCCAAAGCCTGGTGTATCGATGATGGTAAAAGCGTATGGAACAGCAGAGCCCTTCATTGGGTAAATTGTGTAAGCCGTGATATCCCTGGTCTGACTGAAAGCTTGTGATACTTTGCTGTCTTCTACGACGAGTTTGTAACGGAACTTATCAGCCCATTTCACGCCCAGGATGTAGTTGACCATCCCGTTGATAAGGGTTGTCTTTCCAGCTCCTGTTGCGCCAACAACCATAAGGACTTTTTCCTTACCTCGATCACAGACATCACTGGGGCTGCCTATGCACTTTTTGGCAATCCTTCCTTTGTCCTGATTCAATTTTATTTCTGTTGCAAGCAAGTAGACTGGCGGGGGACCATCTGATATCTTCTCCGATTTTTGGAGTATGGTTTCGGCTAAGCGAGGTGGGCCAACTGGAACAGCCTCCTTCGGCATATCTATTATCTTCCTACTGCTGTAAATTTCAACTTGAGTTTTGGCTTCCTCGTACAAGTGAAGTCGTTGTTGACATCCAGGTCTGGCATCTTGTTTCTCTGATTCGATAAGTCGCTCAAGGTACTCTACTTGTGTCAATGGGTCGGGTTTTAAAGCAACTTCATCCAGGTGACGAAGACGATCTTGGATTTGGTTTTTCATGGTGCCCACTAGCCCATCTTCAAGGAACTGCAGTGAAACATCATCTTTCTTTTCGAGATTTTCTAAAGTTTCGTTTCCATCGCCTGTTTTATGTTTCGCTAATGCACTCTCCTTGTGTCTCAGCTGGTCAGTCTTACTCCGACGTGTTGCAATCTCTGTGTGAAGCTGTTCAATGAGGATTTGTAGCTGATCGCGTTCTTTCCACACTTCTCTGGTAAGTTGGAGACTGACACTTTCTGAATTTTCAAGCTGTTGGAAAAAGCTATTAAGGGAACGGAAACTCATTTTCCAGAACACAGCATTGAACATGTCATCAGCGTCTTCAGTATTTTCTGCATATAGTGCCTCGTTGTTGAGTATGAAGATCTTATCATTAGGGACACCTGTTTTGTTAAAAACGTCGTGCAGAGTGTGTTTCCGACTTTCTGCAAACGTAAGGAGCATAAAGATGTTTTTGGACATATCTTTTCCAAACATAGACATTATGGAGTCGAAGATGTATTCCTGCTCTATGGTGGGGTGAGGTAAGGAAGCCTGTGTGACAAAACCAATACCATCGAGATGATCAACACCTATTGGAGGAGCAGCAGAAAGGAATTCTCTCATCTGATCAGCAACGGTTCTGTCCATCTGTAGTCCTCTGGAATCTCCATAACCAGGAGTATCAACTATGGTCAAAGTGTAGGTAAGCTTCGAGCCTTCCATCGGATAGATTGTGTAGATATTGATGGCCTTCTCTTGACTGTGACTCTGTGAAGACATCTTATCATCCACGACAAGTTTGAATCGGAAGGTATCTTTCCATTTTACGCCCAGGATGTAATTTATTATGGCGTTGATGAGAGTTGTCTTTCCAGCGCCTGGCGGTCCAACTAGAAGAATAATTTTCTCGTTTTTGTGTTCACCACCGATAGTATGTCTGCAAATTGCCCTTTCGTCTTTGTGAACTTCGAGTTTTATTGGAAGATCGAAAATGGATGGAGATCCACAGGTAATCTCGATTGAGCTTTGAAGCATAATTTCGGCAAGACGACCTCGAGTTTGAAGTGGATCACTTGATATATTTTCTCCATCTACCTGATTTTCCGTACTAAGAGCGATGCTTCAAAGGGAAAAAAAAAGAACGAAATTATTCGTGTTCAAAGTAACATTTTCAGTAATACTGATAGCATAACCATTCAAGGTACGTATTCGACTTTGGATTGATCAACCTTCAGCTGTAAAAGAGGTAATATGTTGCCATGCTTCACTTAAGTTCAAGTAATCAACTTGTGTTTAAGCCGGCAAACAGTTTTAAGGATCAGCTGTAAGCTATTACACTCATGCAGCATCAATGAATAAAATTTAACGTCAACATAGACACCAAGATAACTTCGGTAGCAATGACGATGACAACAAGTATTACTCTCTTACTAACCTTGCCTCCTTCACTTTAGACTGGCTTGTGGGATTTTGGCTTCGTTTTCTTTGCCACCAAATTCCAAAGAGCACTGCCATAAGTGCTGTGGATATAGCCCAGGGAAAATAATCTGTTAACACGTCAAATACTCCCATCGTGTTTGCTTACTCAGGAAAAAAACCTACGAAATGGACAAGTAACAGGTCTCTAAATAAGTGATATTGCTATTTATTCTATCTATTCATGGAAGCACCGTACGATGCTAAAGCTAATTTCGTATTTCATTTGTTCTGTGTCACCATACTGCTTCCCGTCCGCATGAGGTTTTAATTCTCGAAAACCAAAGTTTCCTTTTCGAGGAGACTTTCGCTACTTTAGAAAGCTTTCTTGAGCACAGTTGCAGAGGCAGTCAATGAAATTTCGTTAATTGAAAGAATCCAGACATTGAATGGGAAGCAACAGAAGTGTGTGAAAAATAAAAAAAAATCAGTGCGTCTTTGGCAGTGTTTCTGCATTTCAGCATTTTGAATCGTGTGAAGTTCACCGAGTATAGCTTTTCTAATTAATGTTCAGTTTTATCTAAGCGTGGAAGTAATGATAAAAACAACAATGATGAACAGCAGGTAACCATCACACCATGTTATATAGCTATGCTGGATGAGCTGATGTAAGTGTAACCATTTTCGAAAGAAAGGATCCACAATGTAGGTGGATATTTAAGAATAACAAAGTAACAAACAGAATGCCAGACGATCGAATATCCTGTGTCTTTGCACATAAAGCTCAAGGCCTGTCAACTTAAACCGATGCCAAACATTGACAGCATTCAAATTCTACATCGAATCGCACGTTTCCAAGAAATGCCACCTGAACTTGAGCTGTGGTGCCTCTTAAAGATTGGTGCAATAAATTAAATATTTCTTTCATTTAAAAAGCCTTTTACATAGTCAAGTAGACCATTGCATGCATAACCCATGATATGAAGACTGTCTAGTTAGTTGGCAAAACCATCATCCACCGGACCTGTTTGACTACCCATTACTAATGAATAAAGGGGTAAGTTTCTAAAGATACTGTGGTGCTGCGTCGGTGGGAGAGTATAGCAGGTAATTTAGTGTTAACAACTGGGTTGAAAACGTAAATTAGCCACCGTAAAGGGTAAAAAAGCTGACGTTTCGAGCGTTAGCCCTTCGTCAGAGTGATTAGAGGAATTGTGGGTTGTGTGTGGATTTATATGTAGAAGGTGGAGCTACGCCATTGGTGGGAATATGGTGACGAGAAAACAGGAATAAATTAGTTGAATGAAAAGCGCTCGTTGATTCCGTGGGGATTAAGGGTGCCGATTTGGAATATAAATTTTTGTTCTAGTGTTTTACGGCTTTCCGAACTGCCTAGATGTAAGGAAAGGCCGCAAACTGCCATATGCTGTTTAGAATGATAAGGAAGATTAAAGTGTCTAGCGACTGGTTTGGATGCGTCCTTGTCATTTCTTTCCACATCGCGAAGGTGTTCTCGGAATCGGTCACCCAGTCGTCTTCCTGTTTCGCCGATGTATAAATTATTGCAATAAGTGCAAGTTATGCAGTAAATAACATTGGCGGAGGTACACGTAAAGTGATCAATGATCTTAATGGATCTTTTGGGTCCCGATATTTTCTCTACGTTATGAATGAAAGGACATGTTTTGCATCGTGAGCGAGTGCATTTAAAAGTTCCAGATTGGTCATTGGTTTGAAATGAACTCCTGACTAAAAAGTTGCCTATGTTTTTGTCACGTTTGAATGAAATAAGTGGGGGTTGCAAAAAGATAGTGCTAGTCTCTGAATCGTTTTAGAGTAATTTAAAATTTTTAAGAATGATAGATTTAACTGCGTGGTCGTGAGGGTGAAATGTAAGAGTAAATGGAATGCGGTCAGTGTTCTCCTTCTCGGCCGTTTGTAGTGCTGCCTGTCGATCGATTTGTTGGGCACGGTGGTAGCCCGCTTGAACGACAGAAACAGGATAGCCGCGTTTATCGAAAAACTGGCACATTGCCTCTGATTTTTCGGAAAAATCAGAGTCGTCACTATATAAACGACGAAGTCTGAGAAACTGTGAAAAAGGTATGGAGTTCTTGAAGTGTGATGGATGTGAGGATGAATACAACAAGTAACTATGTGAATCTGTAGGTTTGTAGTAAACACTAGTACATAAGCCGTTGCCTTCAATTGAAATTTTGATGTCTAGAAAAGCCAAAGAAGTGTCGGAAATTTCCCAGGTATATTTAAGAGCCGGATGAAAGGAATTGACGGCGGTTATAAATTGAGTGAGCTCCTCCTTGGTAGAGGAGGTAGCGCCGATGCAATCGTCAATGTAGCGGTCGTAGAGTTGAGGTTTTGGGCCGTGGTATTGGCTAAAAAATTGATGTTCGATAAAACCTACAAAAAGATTGGCGTAGCTGGGTCCCATTTTAGTACCCATGGCCACGCCATTAGTTTGTTTGTAGTAGTTACCACCGAATGAAAATCAATTGAGTGTGAGTACTAGTTCGGCCAGACGGAGTAGTGTTTCAGAGCTAGGTTCCTTAACAGTGCGTAGATCAAAAAAATGTTTGAGGGCCCGGAGACCTTCGTCATTGGGAATGACAGTGTAAAGAGATGTTATATCCATGGTGAAAATAAGTTTGTTTTGGTCGAGGAAACTAAAGTTACGAAAAATTTCAAGTGCGTGTTGGCTGTCCTTAATGTAAGACGGTAGAGTTTTGACGATAGGTGTCATAATTTTGTCTAAATAGCTGGAAATAAGTTCAGTGGGACAACTGCAGGCAGAAACGATGGGTCGACCTGGGTTGTTAGGTTTGTGGATTTTAGGTAAAAAGTAAATACACGAAGTTCTAGGAGTAGTAATGATGAGATTTTTAGCAGTGGCCGGAAATTCTTGTTTAGCTATAAGATCGTTAATCGTATTTTTGACAATGTTTTGGTTAATTAAAGTGAGGTCTTTGTCGACTTTGGCATAAAAGGAGGTGTCAGAAAGTTGCCGCAAAGCTTCTTTTTGATAGAGGTCGGCTCGCCAAACAACAACTGCACCGCCTTTGTCGGCCGCCTTAATGACAATGTCTTTGCGTTTTTTAGACTTTTTAGTGCCGACCACTCTTCCGAAGAAAGATTGGAAAATTTGGTGTAACGATTGAATTTAAGTTTGTTGATATTTGTTTGTTCGACATTTTTTTGGGAAAAAATCTAAAGATGAGAACCGGCCCTCTTGGGGAGTCCATTTAGACTTTCGAATCTGGAGTGTTTCGAAAGTATCTTTGTTCGAGGTGTTAGAATCATCCTCTTTGATCATTCCTCTTCATCCTCTACCCATTACTAAATTGAGTTATTCCAGTGGAAGGATTGAAATAACCTCAGTGGAGGGTTACTTTAGTGGAGAGTACCAATTTAAGCTAACGAGCACGAACTGAATATTGCAACAGATGAGCGTTTTCGTTTTCGTTTAGAATGGTTTACAATTATCAGGTTGTCTACTTCACGAACTCGAATATCAATGTCACAACACTTGTTAGTACTAATCATCGGAATTTAAAGACTTAATTTAAAAGTAAACGAAAAAAATTGCAATCTATCGATAAACTCTCTTATTGACAAAAATGAAGGTTTACAATGCATCACAGGTTATAAGTGCCATAGTCTTTGTGAAATAATTCGATCCACAGTGGTGTTACTTGACTAAAACATATCGATGGAGTTCTGGAATTAGGCCACGCTAATTTCTTAAAGAGTTTCACACTGTTCGATCTTGTGTTACCTTCCAAGATTTATATTGCCAGGGTTGTTAGCAACTACCTGCTTCTTAAATGAGATCAAATTTATTTAAAAACTACGAACGGTCCAATGCCATCACTCAGTCGAACAACAAGATCCGTTCCCGCCCGATCGTAAGTTTCTTTTAGAGCTAATGCACATGATTGGTGTTAGTAACAAGCAGACTTTAGACTTTTTAGTGCCGACCACTCTTCCGAAGAAAGATTGGAAAATTTGGTGTTACAATTGAATTTAAGTTTGTTGATATCGTGGCGACATTTTTTGAGAAAAAAATCTAAAGATGAGAACTGGCCCTCTGGGGGAGTCCATTTAGACTTTCGAATCTGGAGTGTTTCGAAAGTATCTTTGTTCGAGGTGTTAGAATCATCCTCTTTGATCATCTCTCTTCCGAAGAAAGATTGGAAAATTTGGTGTTACAATTGAATTTAAGTTTGTTGATATCGTGGCGACATTTTTTGAGGAAAAAATCTAAAAATGAATTGGCCCTCTGGGGGAGTCCATTTAGACTTTCGAATCTGGAGTGTTTCGAAAGTATCTTTGTTCGAGGTGTTAGAATCATCCTCTTTGATCATTCCTCTTCATCCTCTACCCATTACTAAATTGAGTTATTCCAGTGGAAGGATTGAAATAACCTCAGTGGAGGGTTACTTTAGTGGAGAGTACCAATTTAAGCTAACGAGCACGAACTGAATATTGCAACAGATGAGCGTTTTCGTTTTCGTTTAGAATGGTTTACAGTTATCAGGTTGTCTACTTCACGAACTCGAATATCAATGTCACAACACTTGTTAGTACTAATCATCGGAATTTAAAGACTTAATTTAAAAGTAAACGAAAAAAATTGCAATCTATCAATAAACTCTCTTATTGACAAAAATGAAGGTTTACAATGCATCACAGGTTATAAGTGCCATAGTCTTTGTGAAATAATTCGATCCACAGTGGTGTTACTTAACTAAAACATATCGATGGAGTTCTGAAATTAGGCCACGCTAATTTCTTAAAGAGTTTCACACTGTTCGATCTTGTGTTACCTTCCAAGATTTATATTGCCAGGGTTGTTAGCAACTACCTGCTTCTTAAATGAGATCAAATTTATTTAAAAACTACGAACGGTCCAATGCCATCACTCAGTCGAACAACAAGATCCGTTCCCGCCCGATCGTAAGTTTCTTTTAGAGCTAATGCACATGATTGGTGTTAGTAACAAGCAGACTTTAGACTTTTTAGTGCCGACCACTCTTCCGAAGAAAGATTGGAAAATTTGGTGTTACAATTGAATTTAAGTTTGTTGATATCGTGGCGACATTTTTTGAGAAAAAAATCTAAAGATGAGAACTGGCCCTCTGGGGGAGTCCATTTAGACTTTCGAATCTGGAGTGTTTCGAAAGTATCTTTGTTCGAGGTGTTAGAATCATCCTCTTTGATCATCTCTCTTCCGAAGAAAGATTGGAAAATTTGGTGTTACAATTGAATTTAAGTTTGTTGATATCGTGGCGACATTTTTTGAGGAAAAAATCTAAAGATGAGAACTGGCCCTCTGGGGGAGTCCATTTAGACTTTCGAATCTGGAGTGTTTCGAAAGTATCTTTGTTCGAGGTGTTAGAATCATCCTCTTTGATCATTCCTCTTCATCCTCTACCCATTACTAAATTGAGTTATTCCAGTGGAAGGATTGAAATAACCTCAGTGGAGGGTTACTTTAGTGGAGAGTACCAATTTAAGCTAACGAGCACGAACTGAATATTGCAACAGATGAGCGTTTTCGTTTTCGTTTAGAATGGTTTACAGTTATCAGGTTGTCTACTTCACGAACTCCAATATCAATGTCACAACACTTGTTAGTACTAATCATCGGAATTTAAAGACTTAATTTAAAAGCAAACGAAAAAAATTGCAATCTATCGATAAACTCTCTTATTGACAAAAATGAAGGTTTACAATGCATCACAGGTTATAAGTGCCATAGTCTTTGTGAAATAATTCGATCCACAGTGGTGTTACTTAACTAAAACATATCGATGGAGTTCTGAAATTAGGCCACGCTAATTTCTTAAAGAGTTTCACACTGTTCGATCTTGTGTTACCTTCCAAGATTTATATTGCCAGGGTTGTTAGCAACTACCTGCTTCTTAAATGAGATCAAATTTATTTAAAAACTACGAACGGTCCAATGCCATCACTCAGTCGAACAACAAGATCCGTTCCCGCCCGATCGTAAGTTTCTTTTAGAGCTAATGCACATGATTGGTGTTAGTAACAAGAAAAAAACGTTCGAGGTACCTTTTCAGTGGACGGACGGTTGCTTACCTTAAACTTCCTTGAAGATCGGTTAGAGCTACTTGTTTTGCAAGTCACTAAATATGCTCAAAACTGCGAAGCTTTTTCCCGGAATCATCAGGGAAAATATGCAAATTTCAATATCAGCTGACGTATTCTTTAGGAGTGCTTCTGATTGGTTCCTCTGCTATCTATTCTCAGTTTAACAAATCAAAGCCTGCCAGCTGTGTCGTATAAGTCAATAGTGCATAATGATTTTCTGTTTGTGCGCCGGAGCATTGCTATCGAAAAATTGTCAATTTATCATCGAAGAACATTTTCAATCTTCTGTAATTTTATTCAAAACATTTCTAACATTTAACTCTCTCAAAACTGAAAACAACGCTAAATGCGTAATATACTCAAAGCGAAACTTACTTATTTTTATGTTGCCCAGATTGTTAGCGATAACTTGCATCTTAAATGCTATGAAATATGTTTAAAAACTACGAACGGTCCGACGCCACCACCCAGTCGAACAAAAAGATCCGTTCCCGGCCGGTTGTAAGTTTCTTTTAGAGCCAATGCACATGATTGGTGTTAGTAACAAGAAAACGTTCGAGGTACCTTTTCAGTGGACGGACGGTTGCTTACCTTAAACTTCCTTGAAGATCAGCTAGAGCTACTTGTTTTGTAAGTCACTGAATATGCTCAAAACTGCGAAGCTTTTTCCTGGAATCATCAGAAAAAAAATGCAAATTTCAATATCAGCTGACGTATTCTTTAGGAGTGCTTCTGATTGGTCCCTCTGCTAGCTATTCTCAGTTTAACCAATCAAAGCCTGTTAGCTGTACCGTATAAGTCAATAGTGCATAATGATTTTCTGTTTGTCTCCGGAGGACTGCTATCAAAAAAATTGTCAATTTATCATCGAAGAACATCTGCAATCTTCTGTAATTTTATTCAAAACATTTCTAAAATTTAACTCTCTCAAAACTGAAAACAACGCTAAATGCGTAATATACTCAAAGCGAACTTGCTTATTTTAATATTGCCCAGGTTGTTAGCGATTACTTACATCTTAAATGCTATGAAATATATTTAAAAACTAAGCACGGTCCGACGCCACCACCCAGTCGAACAACAAGATCCGTTCCCGGCCGGTTGTTAGTTTCTTTTAGAGCTAATGCACATGATTGGTATAAAAACAATTAAACGTTCGAACTACCTTTAAGTGGACGGACGGTTGCTTCTCTTAAATTTCCTTAAGGATCAGCTAGAGCTACTTGTTTTGTAAGTCACTGAATATGCTCAAAACTGCGAAGCTTTTTCTGGAATATTACGGAAAAAGCTGCAAATTTCAATAGAAGCTGACGCATTCTACAGGAGTGCTTCTGATTGGTTCCTTTGCTATTTAATCTCAGTTTAACCAATCAAAGACTACCAGTTGTATCGTATAAGTTAACAGTGCATAATGATTTTCTTTTTGGGGCCTATAAGCTATAAGGGTTAAGTGGAAAGAAAATAAGACAAAAATTTGGGGCTAAACATTATGCTATAATACTAACAGAGCCGTAGAATCGTCATTCGAAACAGCCTAAACGGGAAAAGAGCTGAATAGATGAGCAACTACTTAATATTTTCAAAAGATATTGGTCTCTTCCTGTTTTCCAAGAATTCAGGAGACGATTCGTAGAAACTGTCAATAAGATATTCTCTGCTTATGTAATGCTTTTGAAACTTGAAACACCTCATAAGCATGTACGAAACAATACATGATCATAAACGAGCTTAGATTGACATTATAATGTTACATTTAATTGATACGATTTATGGGCCATTTCAGTTCGTGCCCCCTCTTTTTTGTTTTCATCTCAAAGAGGGTATAAATTCGATCATTTATGAAAGAAAATTGGATGTTGTCTTTCTATGGACCTTAGGTCTATAGCTTGGTATTTGTTTGACACACAAAACATTTAGATGTCACTAAGCGACGAAACAGGATACGAAAAAAATCAGCTATTTAGGTTGCACTGACACCACTTAAATAAATTATCTTGGGGTACCCGCAGGACAGGAGATAAATTTCTCATAAAATTTGCCACAGCTAATGTTTGGCAGAAGATGTTATGGATGAAACTTGCTTATTTTATGTTAGACCATAAGACGGTGCACGTGTGCGCATGGTTTCCTTGTTAGAAATTTTGTGAAGAGTTAAGCAAGGTTCTGTACCATATACAATGAGCTTTGTCAACCATGCAGATTTTCATATACAACACGGCTGACTACACCATAAAGCATTTTAAAGTACTAGTATAAAACGCGTAGATAGGTGAAATACTTCCTAACATGGCTTCCCAGACATTTTAAACCTCTTGCCGAAGAACATCTGCAATCTTTCAAGTAATTCTATTTAAAACATTTTTAAAACTGAACTCTCTAAAAAATGAAAACAACGCTAAATGCGAAGTATACTCAAAGCGAAACTTGCTTATTTTATTATTTCCCGGGTTGTTAGCGATTACTTGCACCTTAAATGCTAGAGCTAGTGCACATGAAAACAAGAAAACGTTCGAACTACTTATAAGTGGACGGACGGTCGCTTACCTTAAATTTCCTCGAAGATCGGCAAGAGTTACTTGTTTTGGGTGTCACTGAATATGATCAAAGCTGCGAAGCTTTTTCCCGGAATCAGTAGCGAAAAAGCTTCAAATTTCAATACCAGCTAACGTATTTTTTAGGAGTGCTTCTGATTGGTTCCTTTGCTATGTAATCACAGCCAGTTTAACCAATTAAAGCCTGGCAGCTTTGCCGTGTAAGTCAACAGTGCATAACGATTTTCTGTTTGTACCTCGGAGGACCGCTATCGAAAAAGTGTCAATTCAAGATGGCAACAATGAAAGCTATATGGCTAGATAGAAAGAAAACAAGGCAAAAATTTGGGGCTAAATATAATGCTATAATAGAAACAGAGATGTTAGAATTCTCATTCGGAACAGCCTAAACAATAAAAGAGCCGAAAAAATAAGCGATTACTTAATATTTTAAAAAAGATGTTAGTCTCTTCCTGTTTTCCAAGAATTCAGGAAACTGTCCATAGTATAGGGAGCTATTTGTGCCAAAAATATCAATCGCTAGTGATGAAACTCAATCGTTAGTGGTAAAATATCAATCGCTAGTAACTAAATCAATTGTTAAAGCTAAAGAATATCAATCGCTGGTGATAAGAGTCAATCGTTAGTGCTAAAATATCAATTGCTAGTGACAAAACTCAATTGTTAGTGCTAGTATCGATTTGTTATCGATTTTAACTTGAACCAGACAGTGAAATGAGAATAAAAGTAAAGATAGACCAGCACGGACTCCCCATGTGGCTCTTGTGGTAGCGTCGCATTGTCGCCTTCCGATTATAATTTTGCTATCACAAGCGTGTCTTTAAGAGATTTCTGGGGTTACCTAGGTAACCTACTATGTCATTGTCTGTGTAAGTGAGACTTTACGAAGTACGAAGGAAGAACCAAAGCACACCTGAAACGGCACGAGGATTTCTCTAGTTCTCTAGGGCGCTTTTTCGATTACAGCACTATTCTTTAGAACGATCTAAGTCTTCTACAGTAACGAATTGCTGGAATTTAGTTAGATATGAGGAAAACCACTTTTACAAACAGTCCATCCAATAACTCCACGATCGACAATCGACTGCTTTGGTGAACCGCTGGCCGAACGTAGTTGGAAAGTGATGCTTTAGAAGTTGATTCGATCGTCTGAGTGTTGCTTCGTAGGCGGTAAGTAAAATAATGTTTTTCTATTATTTTTGCCCTCTGAACAGGCACTCCTTTCTTCGGATGTGCCAATAGTTCGTTGTAAAAGTATCTCTCAGGGTTTGAAGCGATTTGTTTAGAGTCTTGAAAGGAAAGTTGAAGGTGTTTAAGAAAGATGTTTTTCGTCTTGTAACGAGCGTGGGACAAAAATTCTGAGTCCCCATGAGGAATCGAACCTCAGACCCTTGGACTCAGTACCGCGCTGCTCTACCACTGAGCCACAGAGACTCTACGGTGGGCGAATTGCACAAATCCGAAGGTCTGAGGTTCGATTCCTCATGCGGACTCAAATTTTTTTTGTCCCACGCTCGAGACAATACGAAAACATCTTTCTTAATTTTTTACCGTGTCGTCTGGTGATTAACAACCTCTTCGACCAACAATTCCTCTTTGAGGAACATGAATGTCCTTGAGGACGTAAGATAGGTCCTTCGGGACACTAGATATGTCCTTCGGGACACGAATAATGTTCTTCGGGACACGAAAAATATTGCCCTCGGGACACCGGTATTGCCCTTTGGGAAACCAATAATGTTATGGATACAAATAGTGTTTTTCAACATAAACAAGGTCCACCAAGAGAAAACTGTAATCCTGAATAAAAGTTCTTGTGATGATGGCATAGTCTAACAAATGTTTGTGATGAAAAATAGTGTGAACGATGGTGGGTTAATGAAAGCACCCCCGCCTGGTTCAGTTAATGTGAAAAGGGTAGTACCAATTCAGATGAGTTCTAAGAGAAATTGCACATCACGTTCACTAATAAGACAATCTGTGAAGGCAGCAAGTAGGTGCAGAAGGAGAGAATAGAGTATCACTGAGAGGAATGCTTAACTCATCGAGGAATAAAAAATTGAGCAACAAACACAAAAATAGTATAAAAAAAACTTGACGTCTTTTTTCGTCTACTGTCCATGGTATTGCTAGTAATTAGAAATGGTGGAATATCAGATATATTAGCCAACAAAATAGTTTTTAAAGTAGCAAGATTAGTGCCAGCGAAAGCTGTACTACTGCATTTGATATGTCGAAAAGAAATATTTCATTGTCTGGAGATGTAGACTTAAATCCAGGTCCTGTTGCAAATAACACAAGCTCGCTAGCATTATCTAGCAATAAGAAACACAGCTGTGCAGTACTTAAAAGAAAACCCTGAGCGATTCATAGAAAGTATTCTACATAGATCATGGTCACAATATTTATATGACATGTTTTTGCAAGGAATATAGGC